GCGAACCTCGAGCATCCTAATGCAGACAAGCACTTCATTAAGATCACTTCTGAAGGCCAGTACGAAACAACAGCATTGAGGGTGCAAATTCGGGCGGCCATTTTGCAGGCACACAAGGGTGATCAGCCCTTGCTTCCCATGCCACTGGTAGCTTCGTTGGACAGAGTCCCAGTGACATGGTGTGTCCCCCTGCAGTTATGTACATCTGGCTTCTGGAATCATGTCGCCATGTGCAGGCGTTTACACACACACACACACGCACACACACACACATACACATATATATATATGTATATATGTATATATATATATGTATATATATATATATAAATAATATGTGTATATATATATATATTGATATTGGAAGGATGGTGCACTCAAGGACTCGACGAAGCCTTTCTGAGTTTTCATCGCAAGGGCCAGCCTTTTTTGGTGGGACTTTCGCAGGTAGCCGCCTTTCTCTTCTCCCTCGCAGCCCTCGTGAAGGACAGGGCCCCGGTTTCGCCTTCCCACTTTTGCTTCTGTAACGATAAAAATTCCTCTCATGGGTTGCTACAAGGGATACCGTAAGGGTTCTATAGGGGGGTTTAGGGTACTCAAAGGAATCATGGGACTTAGTAACTAGGGTTATACTAAGCTAACTATACTTATTATTACTTATAACCCCAATTAAGGTACTTATGACCTTAGCTACTAAGTCCATGATCCTCCACGTAGCAGAGTGAGTCGAACTGCGTGGTGCTCCACATTCTCTCCTGTCACCGGCCACGACTGTTTTGTGCAGATGACACGCCGAGTGAGCCGCAACGAGCGAGTGCCACTGGGCGACGGCGATTCGGGCGGGCCTGGGCTATTCTTGGGAACTTAAAACGTCAAGGTCGCTGGGTGTTGAGTCGATGAAGATCCAAACGCGGACCTTTCTTGCGAGCTGCCGGTCTCAAACCTCGGCCCGAGCTCTGCCAAGGCCTCTGCCCGAGACGCGGAGGTGCAGGACGACGAGGGTCCTGTCTCGCACAGGTAGCATCAAGAAAGCTCCGAGAACACGCGCGTAAGCTTCATCCTATCTATCCTCTCGACAGGCGCAGAACCACGCATCGCCCTATCAGAACATTTTGTCTCAAACCATGCAATTGGTCCATAGCACCTTCAGGAAACACGGCAGGATAATTGCTAGGCAGCTTGGACGATATATCTTGCGTGGCTTCAGATGCCCAAGAAGACTTCCGCATGTCAGGAAGCGGCGGCCAAAGACCGATGCCGAACATGGTGCAGGACCTTTTGTTTCCGACTGCGAGGATACGTACAAATTTGTTGTCATAGTACAAATTTCCATTGTAGTGGTCCTGATGCTCGCCTTTGCGGGACAAGGTAAAGCTTCGGGCAGAGAGTCGGCAGGCAGACAGCTTCCAGAGCTCAATCCGAAGGAACACCAGGTAGTCTTCACAAAACTGCTTCACTCAATGACATCGAGACAGTGCTTACGTTTTTCCCCTTCGATTTTGCCGTGGGTTTTCGACATGACAGGCAGAGGGGAGCAGACTGACACTGCAAAGCCCGACATCACCAAATCTTCGCACAAAGGCCTGGGGTTGCAGCCCATAACATGCGAAGTTGTGTCAGAAGCTGCACGTGGGAACATGACGGCGTTAGGCACCCAGAAGAACACGTCCTGGCAGACATCTCTTATGCTCGAAGCTGGGCTGGAAGACATGTAGAAGAGCAGCAAAAGTGGCGGATCGCGTCAGGTGGGATGCCGGTGGCGGAGAACGCCAGGGAAGCGGAGCCAGACATTGTGCCTCGTCATGGCAGCTGTGCTAGCGGTACATGCTGAGTACTTTGGATACTCCTTGCGGTTTGCTTCATACACTCAAGCACAATGCCTATCTGCAATCAGTCTTTCCTTAACGTCATCGCTTCTCCCAGCGAAAACGGAGTTGCTACAAATGGTCCTGGAGACAGCGAGCTAAGGAATTCGAGCTCTCCACCGAATGGCGGAATGTGCAGAATCTCAACATCCAGCAACAGCTGCGCCACTGGGTTGATGACTGCGATGATTTTTGATAGCACAAATGGTTCAAACAACACTTGAATAACAGGAACACGAGTAGTACCATGACATTAATGATAGCACTACTTGTGGTAGTAGTGGTATTACGGAAAAACGATGTTATTTATAAGAGTCACAAGGGCCGTTAGATGCGCAATAAACATGAGCGTCATAGTAGCTGTAGTAGCCATCTTGATAGCAGCAATAATCTCAACGATTGCCACAAGAGCCTTGGGAGTTACAAGAGTCAGAACAACTGTTAATGCTTTCGATGTGGATCTGTGCTAAACTGCCTTCGGTTATTGGTATTATTCCATCATTCCCATATTTGCTTTGATTGCTATGATTAGAATTACTGCAGTGTTGCAAGAAAGGCCGGCACTACTTTTGTGACGATTGGAGCGATTCTTGCAACTATATTGCGATCATTATTATTGCTACGATTGTTACGTACTATCATCAAGATATTTGGGATTTTGGCTGCTGCTTCTCTTGTTGCTACTACCATGCTTATGTTTGTTACTGTTATGATTACTAGTAACGCAGTTTTTTATATTTATTACCATCAGTACTATGATTATTGTTAATGTTGGAAGTATTACTAATTGCCCGTCTTACATGTCATACGGGTAATAAACGTAAAATACTAGCAGAAAATATGGTAATTATCAGGGCAACTAAGACCTCGTAGTATTCTTTTCGTAAGCTTCACCATTAGCACTGTAAAGTTCATTTTCATTTTCACATAATATCGGGATACGCCCGTAAACCCACCACTTTTCCACCGTTGCAGAAACCCTGCGCCAAACCCAAGGAAAACTGGGCCGCTACAGAGAACACGCTGCGGCGGCACAGAGAGACAAGGCTCTGACGGGGCGGTGCTTGTAGAGGTTTATGGAGGAGTTGCTCGGCGTTGATATGGCTTTGTAAGGCTTTATGTAGATTTGGGGCTGAGGGGTTGTTGTAAAGACCCGCGGAAGCAGGGCGATTTGGGGGAGTGCACTTCAATCTACCGTGTATATGGCTGGTTCGGGGACGAATTTGTTACATGATTGCCTGTCTCAAGAAGTATGCTGGTCGCTGCGTATTGCTGCATGCTGCTACTAAGTCACCTTTCGCTCTGTGATGGTCGCAGAGAAGTGCTGGGTCGAGTTGGGTGGCGAAGCGGGGGCTCCGGTGCCTTGTGTCACAGGAGGACCAGGCGCTGCCGGGTGTCCGGCGCTTGCGGCGGCCAAGGGATCCTCGGTGGCCTTTTGTTTTAATCGTAGCCTAATGGCAGGCACCACTCCAGGACCCTTCCGGCAAGCCTGGCTGATTGGCGGGCCAGAGCAGTCCAGAGGAGTTGCATGTCGTTCTTCGCCAAGCGACGCCAAGACTGCGCCTCAATCCTCTCCTGCTCACTTCCATCTGCACGAACTGCACCAACAACGGCGTCAGTTCTGATTCTCTTCCACACCACTCCCTACCTAAACCCTAAGCCCTAAACCCTAAACCCTAAACCCAAAACCCTACCACGCCCTAGGTAATAGATGAGAACGACAGCATCTCCAGCGACACTGAGACAGAGCTGCAGCAGCCTCTGGTCGTCAAGGAGACTGCAGGTCTTCCTTGTGAATTGGGGGATTGAGAGGGTTCAATGTTGGGGCCTTAAATAATTAGAATTCGGGTTTTGGGGGTACATTATACTAGGTTTTATGTAGGGGCCTGAAGAATTAGAATAGGGTTTGGGGGGGCTCCTTATGATAATTATAGTATAATATCCTAAAGAAAACCTATTCTGATTATTAAGGCCCGTACATATAAGTAAGTTTTAGGCATGCTGTCTTCAAGCCAACGTCCTTGTCAAGACTCCTTGTGAAGCTCAGCAGAAGATAGGTCCTTCCTGCGACTCCCGGGCAGCCTTCAGAGCTTCAAAAAGTCCTTAAAGCAAGACGGGTGCATTGGTGTGGCCGTGGGGAAATTTGATATCAATTAATATTCATATTCTTAGTCTTTTGTTTCTGTGTTTTTGGATATTTGTTATTGTTTCTGTTTGTCAGAACGGTGGTTATGGTGTTGTGAACTGTGCAAGCAAACTGGAAGGAGGAAGCGAAAGAAGAGTCCGCAGACGAAGAGGTCCTTTCCTTTCACCATCCTTGGCGGCTTCTTTTCATCCGGGCCTGTGGCTGCCGGCAAGAATTCCATGTGGCTTATGAGTGCAATGTGCAAGTCAAGATCTGTTTGCTTTTGTGGCAAGAATTGAAGACACTTTAGCAAAGTGATGTAGCATTCCATCTCCAAGCTCATGCATTCATGAAGTAGATGGTTATGGCAAGATCAAGCACCAAATAAGTACAAGCCTTTCAATGATAAGAAGAATGCAACGTGTAAGGACAAGACCACGAAAAGCACTAATGAGAGAAGTCACAGTCGTACGAGTAACAATGGTAGCACGACTAGTAATAAGAAAAACCAAAACACGAAGAATACGTCGAATAAGGATAAGAAAGCACTGCCACTAGACATCGCAAGAAGGATCTTCTCAATTGCCTTTGATGCTGGTAATCCTAGACTATAATAATTTGAAGAATACTGTAAACCCTACCCTAAACCCACCATTTCCTTGTGAAGGTGCGCCCAAAGCCTGGCGCACGGGCTCGTGGCACGCGGCGATCGCAAGCAGAGGAGCCGAAGGGAAGCAAAGACTCTGGGGGGTTTTGGGCACTTTGGTTTAGGGTTTAGGGCTTTAGGGTTTTAGGGTTTAGGGTTTAGGGACTTTTTTGGCGAAGGGTTCGAAGATTTTGGGGTTTGGATTATGGTTCAGCGAAACAAAAGCTGCAGAAGAGGGCTTTGGGGTTTGCATTGTCCAGGGTTTAGGGTTATTGCGCAGGCATGACGCAGAATGATCGGGGCACGTTGGACGTGTTGCTTGTTCATCGGCGGGATAGATTCAGAGAGAGAGAGAGAGAGAGAGAAGGACCATGGAGACAGGTAGAGAGCGGGAGATAGACACGTCCTTCGTTACATGTGCAAAAGACCTACATAAAGTTGCATGTGCACATATACAGCCGCATAATCTGTACAAGTTCGTTTGCATGCAGATGGGTTCGATGGTGGCATCCGGCGGTTGCATGAGCACACATCTGTCTGCGCTTGCCCGTGTGTTCGCATGCATGCATGTACGCAGGTCTTCATACTTAGAGTTATCCGCTGTGTTTCTGCGACCTACGTGTGTACTCGAACGTTCACCAAAGCTCGCCGCTAACCCATCCTTAAATCTACTTATGCGGAAACATCCAGACTAACCCGCCAACCCACCTACAAGCCAAAGCAGGAAAAGGTGCACAGCTGCACACGCATGTTTTCGTAGGCATGTCTGTGTAACTACACGAAGTACTCATCAGAAAATACAACACACACCTGTTTGCAGGCGTGCACGGTCCCAAAGAAGCATGGAGTGCTCGTGTTTGTGTGTCTGTCAATGCTGAAGTCGGCCCGCCAGATTTTGTAGGTCTACTCTTGTGTTTGTGATTGCAGTCGGGAGACAGATGCAGTATCCCGCCGAGCTAGAACAAAAGACTGCCGATAGCCCGAATAATAGAGCATGATCCAAGGACCAAGGACTCGTCTCTCGTCTGGCGCCCTGTCCATGTCCAGCTTCCAAAGTTGACCCCAGAGCGCCCAAGACCTCTCAGTCAAAAGATTACGCCTCAATTCTGAATAATATATATATATATATATTGATTGAATATATACATTAATGATTTAATATTGTAATATTGTAGAATGAGAAGCTGAGTAAGCTTCAGAATGAAGGGGGCTGTGGCTCTGCGGGGATTTTCAGGGCATCGGCCCCGGAGGCTGCCAGGGCACGCAGGCGCCGACTCTGGCGGGTGGGGCGTGTGACTCGGCAGCGATTTGGTGATTCTTCAAGGGTGTATAATATATAATATACCATAATATAATACAATATAATAGAACATAATATAATATGGTATAATATCTGGCTGGCCAGGGGAGCGCAGCTAGCCAGAGAGCCCAGAGCCGCGAGATGTCTGGGAGCTTGTCATTGCCTCGCAGGTCCTCTCCCACCGTCGCCCCATGCCGATTGGCCGAAAGTGCACGCCGATCGGCACGGCTTTCAGGCGGCGCCGCAAGGAGACATTGTAGGGGAGAAGTGCTTTAAGAGCCCTGTTTGAGCCGAAGTGAAAGCCTAAGCCCCCGGAGGCTCGGCAAGACCCTTGTAAGCGCGCACTAAGCTTCCACTTGAATGTTAACTCTGGGGGTCTTTGAGAGAAGCTCGCTCATTTCGGCAACGCATGAAGAAGTTCTTCTTCCGAAGCAATGATGAAGATGATGTGTACAAGCAAGCACAGACAGACAGACAGACAGACAGACACACACACACACACGTGTAAGTATATACACATGCACACACACACAAGTATATATGTGTGTATATACATACATATCTATTAATATACATATATACATACACACACACACCCATATATATATGTGTGATACATGTACGGGTGTGTGCTTTGTATGCGCATGCACACATTGCATAGTGCAATACTGGCAGTGCTTTCGATGCGCAACATATAGCCGATAAGCCGATAATGGCTGACAATGCATAGCATGTACATGTATATGCGCATATCTTATATGTAACTGGTTGTATTGCCTATGTAGTCTCCGCAGGAGAATCGCAGTATCTCCACCCGTCGCGAGATCCTCTTGGCAAGATATCTCGCCGAGAAGAAGTCGCAGATAAAGGCGCCATGTTAAGAGCTCACAAGAAACACGCAGAGAACTCAGCAAGGCTCTTTTGAGTGGATTGTGTCATACATCCATAAGGGGGACACGACGTACGACAAGCACTAATGGGCAACTCCTTTGTTTTGTCTCTGATGGTTCACTGTATCACCCTCTTACATATACCTAGGCTTGCCTGAGGAAATTGCAGGCAAAAATAGCTGCTTCTACAAGCCCTACTGGTAAACAGTATCATCTTGTTGACATTGACTTTATGTTTCTCTATCTCGTCTATGCCCCTGTGGTTTCAATGCAAATATCACAACTTTTCCACTGTCTATCTCAAAGCGTACAGTTTCTGGTTGCTAATGGGGAGTAAAGACTGCCAGCAGTCAAACCAAGAGAAGAACGGCTGGATTTGTTGACGAAGGTTTTGAAGAATGAACAAATCGTAAACACGATTATGGAGTGTTCAAGTCGAAGACAGGAAAGGAGGAGACAAGATCATATGGCGAGTTGAAGCAAAAGATGTTGGCATGTATAATGCCGGATTAAGAGCTTGACGGGCTTTACGACTTGCAGCAGACATGTGCATTTCTATTCTGTGCTACATGCGATCTCAGAACTGTTTTCGTTGATGAAAGGTCACTTGAGAAGATTGTAGGCATTGTAGGGTTTCGGAAAACAAGGCGAACTAAGCGATAACCCAAAAGAGCTTTCAAAGCAGAATTAGAGATAGATCACATCATGGTTCAATTCCCCTACTGTGAGTTCTGTAGGGTGGGGGTGGGGGTTGCTGTGCATCTTCTATGGGTTGGGGTAGAGGTTGGGAGATGAGAAAACGGACTTGGCCTCGGCCAAAGCTTGTCGGCCTCCGTTGGGTTTTATAAAGGAGTTCTATGCCCCTCTGATAAGGAATAGAAGCCTTATGCGATTCAAGCTATTCGACTTCATTTTTTCAAGCCAGGGCTATGGTCTGAGTTGGTTTAGTTCCGGAGTGGCTGCCTTGGGATTTCCGCGTGACTTGTAGGCTTGCCTTCACGTGCTGTTATTGGGCTACAGGTGTATGCAAGACGGCCCGTGCATCCATTGCCAGCTGTCCTGAAGCGAGACACGCTCAATGTCAAGTCAGCAACCCGATGCCCACATAACATACCTCATCCTCCTCTGCTCCTCCTGCTCACGACGAGGTGCCACAGGAACCGAGGCCGCATGAGGACCTCGGCCAAATCTGCCAGCTTGCCATCGTCACTTCAGAGGGAAGGTATCAAGCCAAGGCCCAAACCAGGCCCTTCTGTGGGAGCTTGAAATCAAGAGAGGACTGGGAAGAAGATCGACTCATGCGCGCAACTTGTCAGCAAGCATGAAGCAGAGCAACTCCTGCTTCTTCCGGCTATGCCGCTGCTGCGCTGCTTCGATACCCGTGGTGCCAGGATAGGGTTGAAATTGCCAAGTTGCTTTCAGACTACTTGCGCAGTTTCAAGGAAATAGGGTCCTGGCTGGGATTCAAGATCCTATTGATCCTACTGTTTACCGTCTTAGTAGGGTCCCCCGTTTTCTGAAGCTTGAGATGCAGCAGCAGCAGCAGCAGCAAGGGCTCCCCGTCATCCAGGGGAGCCTCCAGCGGGCACATCCTCCGTAAACCTTGAAGAGGAAGGCTTCCGATGTTGCGGGTAATATTTATCGACACGTTTCAGAAAGTCGGAGCGGTTTTGTGGCAGTTGCGGACGCTGCGCATCACGTTGGCGGAGTGACATTGGTGAAGGGTCGTGACCTTGTCAGAAGCCGAGGAGAAGCTGCAGCGCACGCCCTTGGTTTTATGCTGCCGCCACGTTGCACACTGTTCCGCGGCCTGTTGGACACGGCACGAGAATCAAGGTGATTTTCCAGGTTCCATGCAGAGCATGGGGTGGATCCGCGTGGATGATATGTTGTAGCGCAGTGCTTCCCGAAGCGCAGAAGTACAGGGGGGGTACTTAAGGGTTCCTTTATACAGGGCTTTATAGGGGTTACGATAAAGGGTTATCATAGGGGTACCTTAATTTGGGGTCCTTGCAATACGGATCCTACTATTTAGGGTACTACATTAGAAGTTATCATAGTATTCCTAGTACAAAAAACCCTAAACCTTAAACCCTGAACCCTAAAAACCCTATAAGCCCTAAACTTGTCTGCTGAAGGCCTGGCCGGAGAGCCAAGCCCCGAGTCGGGCGCCAGCGGCGCGCCGCCGCCGAAGCGCCAACGGACGCTTGGTTGCTGCTAGTGGGTTTAGGGTTTTTAGGGTTTTTAGGGTTTTTAGGGTTTTAGGGGTTTTTAGGGTTTTTAGGGCTTTTTAGGGCTTTTAGGGTTTTTAGGGTTCTTAGGGTTTAGGGTTTAGGGTTTAGGGTTTATAGGCCCTAAGATGTGCTGCGAGGGACTTGGCCGGGCGAGCTCAGTTCAAGCCTGTGAAAAAAAGGGTTGAGGGCCTCTTTGAGCACGCAATGCAAGCTTCTGTTCATAATGAGGAAGCCAAGTTTGTTTTTCACATTCGCTAGATTTAGTTTGGTAGCTTACTTGAGCGAAGTTCCTTTGTGGAACCCAGCCTTTGTGTGCAGGGACGCCTTTGAAAGCCTCGTCCGGCTCTTGGTGCGGACAGCCAGGGCCCTCGCGGATGCCGTGGAGAAGGCGACAAAAGAGCGCTGCTCAGGGGCTTTTTGCAGCTGCTTAGGGGCTTTTGGTTAAGCAGGTTTATCAGGGTTTGCTTTCCCACACTCCCTCAGGCTGAGCACGAGTTCAAGGAAAAGGTTTCAGGGATTTCCGCAAAGGTGGTCCGTCACAGGAAGCGCCGAGACTTCCGCCGAATATGCATTCGACGATTGACTAGTCTGATTTCGTTGACTTTCGGTTTGTTGCCTGAAAGCTTTGAGGCGCATCGGGCAACAAGGCTTTGATTCGAGTCCCCGCCATCATCGAAACTTGCTCCCGCGTCCCTGCATCGTCATTTAGCTCGTCCGCTTATGGAGTTTACAGTCTAGCCGTCTAGCCTTGCAGCACGAGCAGGTGCCATATTGTAGAACACTGGTCTTCAAAGAGTTGTGGCCTGCGTAGACTGGCGTAAACCTCGGCAGATGCCGTGGAAATCCGCGGCTTCTCGCCTGCAATGCTTCGTTGTTAGGATTGAAGACTGGAGCACGGAACCTGGGTCATGAGTCACGAGTTGCCAAACCCGACGGGCATCTGCAGGTGGAGCAACGCCACCATAGGCGGCAGAACAGCAACGCAGATGAATTTTTAGTTTTCAGGTCATAGACGGGACAAGTGTTCAGGAAGGAAACTCGGTGCATGCGACTTGTGTTTTCACATGCGGCATATGCGGCCTGTTCTGTCGAAGTGGAACATGAAAGCTACACGTTCGCGGGTCAGACCTGTCCATTGCTTCACTTGCTGGATCTTGAGTGCCTCCACACGGATTCGCATCAAAACTCAGGTATGGTACATCTGTCGGCTGTGCCTGGTCAGCCTCTTCCTTGCAGCGACGATGATGACGATGCGCCACGTGCTTCGGGCAGAAACACGCTGCATACGCAGCTTAGTCCATGGCCATATGGGGACATAGAGCAAATTAGTATGCCTCCATGGTCGCAGCCTTAATATTAATGAAGCTCCTTTGGCAAGAGACCAGAAGTATGTGTGATTCCGGGCTCAACAGTCACTGGAAGGTTCTATTGCACAGGATATCTGCAGCTTCAACCTGGCCTGGGAAGGTAGGTGTTGAAGCTAGGTCGTGTGCAACCCCACTTGCTCGAAAGCTCTGTCTCATGCCGGTAGGGCATGGATGGGAAGGGCCTACACGAGCCCTGCCTGAGGCATTCGAGTCGTTCACCATTTCACGCGGCTGAACCGGCACATTGACATGTCCGGGCTTTAGACTTTCGACTGAGACACAAGTTCCCTGTCGTGTTTACGGGCAACAGCTCAGGCCCCTGATTGCAGGGTGCTATCGAAGGAATATTCGGACCATGTTTCTCCAAAAGTTCCATGAGTCTCGCACCGAGCACCTCGCACTTGGAACGTGGGAGTTGTAAGTTTGTAGCTGCTGTAGCGTTTTGATGTTAGCAAGCATTTCCTAAGTGCGCTGGGGCTTCTGGGACCATGGGTGGAGGACCAATGGCCCACTGTTTCACAGCTCGGTTGCAGAAAGTTAGATCAAACCACAAGGTGCAGAAAGTTGGAAGGCAGCAGACTTTGTGTTCGAAGCAATGCCAGCCACTCCCCCTTAGCTGCCATGCCAAAGGATCTTGGAACGATTGGTTTTGAATTTTGCCCAAGGCCATGCAGGCTTCTGCCAGGCTCCGCCTGTTTTCTTGTGACTCCTCGAATTTGGCAGGTGGAGCTTGCCGACTTCCAGCGCGTCTACGACGTGAATGCGGGGCAGCTTCAGGGGGAAAACCACCACTTCCAGCTTCGGGTCCCGCAAACTCGTGGGCTTCAACCAGAATTTCTGCAGTCAGCTGCAGGTGATCGGAGTAGAAGGTTCACCCCAGGTGGAGAGCTGTGTCAAGCACAAGTCTCACAGCTTTCGGTCGCCCTAGGGTTCAGAATGTCCATCGCGGTATCATGCAGTATCCATTGCCGGTATTCAGAGGGGTCGGCCTAGCATGGTAAGGCTGCAGCATCTAGTCCCGGAGATCAAACAACCTTGTGTGTCACTTTGTCACGTGTTCTCCATCTTTTTACGACGCCTTCAGGTGAAGGCCATCTTCCTCTGTGCGAAAGCCGTCTTGTGGTATTCTCAGAGAGAGTCAGTCCGACAAAGCGACCCTGACATTTTAGCTTCTAAACCAACTCAGGCCGTCCATGCTGAAGTCCGGCTATGGCCGCATCGTGAACATTGCCTCCATATCGGGCAAGGATTTCGGGGTTGCGGGGTTCTGTGGCTCCGGTATTAGGCGATTCGCATGGACAGGATCAGGGCTTGATCATGTAGCCGGAGTGTCGGATGGCTTCCGAAGAGTGCTTCAAGCAGACCAACCTGAAGTCGTCTCGTCCCCCGCATGGACATACCTGTACTGGATGCTGTGCCTCGGGCTTGTTTTGTCACTGGCATCTTCTTAAATTCGGCAGTTGGTCGGTGTCGATTGAACTGCGACCTGTTTGGAGCGAGTAAGACGCGGAGCAAGCAACAGAGAGGGCCATCCTAAGACTGGCCATCCTAAGACTGGAATTAGTATTGTCCCATCTATTCGGGCATGTGCGATTCCGAGGCAATGATGCCGGAAGCTGCTTTCCCGTTCCGTCCGCCAGTGCCAGTTGTCGATGAAGCAGAACTGCAAGCTCTCAAAGAAGCAAGAAGCCCCCTTTCCTCCGGGGACGAGAAAGTTCGCGAGGTCGAAACCCTTTCACCCTTGAGCTCAGCTCCAGGACGGGAATGCCGGAATGTTGGCATACTCCTCTTCCAAGGCCATTTTTGCGGGGACTGTGAAGTTTCAGAGCTTTGCCTCCTCCGCAAGGCGAGGCTCCGCAGCAAACCCGTCTGAATGAGATGTCCGTTAAAGAGAAAGACCCCAAGCCCCCATAAATATGGTTACTGTTTAAAGAAATACTAAGCCTTGCCGCGCTCTAAGCGGAGGCTGCCGTCATCAACTTGACAAAAGTGATGGGCAAAGAGTATGCGAACTTGGGCAAGGAGTGCACCTTAAGAGTCAGAAAAGGGGCTTTTTTCAGAGGGTATTCTACAACAGTCAAGTTTTCCGACTCCAAGATGGTCTTACGCGCACAATTCTGTGGTAAGGACTCTTTAGCATCTTCAGGCTTCTCTTGGAGCTCGTTCCTGTTCTTTGCGATCTCGGAATTTTCCCAAAGTAGGGGGACCCCAATATAGTACCCTGTACATAGTAGGATCCTTGTTATAAGGACCCCAAAGTAAGGTACCCCTTGGCTACGGAAACTCCCATCGAAGGACATCACGATTAACTGCATTGCGCCAGCTGTTGTGCAAACGGCGTGTCGGCCTCAGAGCAAAGCTGACCCCCAATTCCCTAAGCCCAAAACCTTGTACCCTGAATTCGGGCTTGTGGGGCGTAAAGTTCCTGTCGCAGCTTGAGGGAGGAAGGGAGATAAGGGAGGTAAGTTAGTGTGACTCATGCGAAAGGGAAGCAAAGGTCCAGGTAGACGATTGATATAAAACCTAAACCCTACTGGTGCGAGTGTGAGTCCAAACCACTGTGAGAGTCGAAACCCTAAACCTTCACCTGCTGTTTCGAGCTTAGGAGTGCCGCCTTGTGTCGGAGCTCTGCGTAGCCCCCAAGTCGGAGCCGAGGATGGTAGATGCAATGCCTCCGGAGCAAGTGAAGTGCTCCTCCTAAAGAGTGATCGGATGCTTGTTGGGATTCCGGGCTTGTGCTCCGACATCTGTCAGTCGGATTGCCAACCCGAGAGCGCGTGCATGTGCATAGGCCTAGACATGTGGGTGCTCACGTGTATGTGCGTGTTTGCCTTCGCCTTGTGAGTTTCTCGTTTGCATGCTTCATTGTCTTTGCAGGCACAGAATTCCTTTCGACACTTGTTCCAGAAGCGGGGTGAAGCAATGAAGGGAATCTCCATGAATACGGCGGCAGTCGTGAATATTCAGGTACATGACTGACAAGATCCCGATGGGCCGAACAGGCAAGCTTGATGAGGCAAGCAGTGTGTGACACCCAAGAAAAGGGCATCCTGCCGAAAAAGCCCCAAACCCAAGACATCATGGAGATTTGCGCCTGCCTCATGCGGGGGTGAGAGTCGAAACACAAAAGATCCGAGCTCGCAGCCCTGCTGTATTTTGAGTTGTGTGACGGTTCTTGTCCCAGGTGGCTGCGACGATTCTTTTTGCAGCCTCACAGGAATGCTCCTTTACCACCGGCTTTTGTCCGTGCCCCGGAGAATCCAGAGTTAAGCAGCTCTCTGAGATCCGCTAAAAAAGGCAGGCGGCCGGTTCTGGGTCGGGTTTCGGGTTTGGGGTTTCGGGTCTAAGCTCATCAGTGCCCAAACTGAATTTCAACGAGACACGTGATGCAGGGCAGATCTGTTCAAGCCGGAAACACTTTTGTTTTCGACGCAGTTCAGCTGGGTCTTGTGCGCAGAGTGTGCGAAGGCTTCGATGCCAGCGGCGGCCGCACAGTGTACTGACATCTCCGGCTTCGCTCTTGTTAATATGGGACGGGCGCTGTCGTGAGCTCCCGGCTAGCCAGCCGCAACTCTTCGAAAAGGGTCCTATTACCAGGAGTCGGGGCTTGCCATTACTACCCAGCAGAAATGAGGGTTTCCAAAAATAGGGTACCTTATTTTGGGGTCCTTCTTATAGGGGTCCTACTATTTAGGGTACTATTTATTAGGGTCCCCCATTTTCGGAAACCCCCCCGAAGCCTTCATTCACGCCTACCTTGCTTCGAGCCAGGCATGCCGCTGTAAATAGAACCGTGCCCGAAGCCTCTTCTTTCGGGTTTGAGGTAGGCGCACAGACGAACACGGCCATTGAAGTATCGGGAGTAAGACGGTGTACACGCTCCTTTGCTAGGTGTTCACTCACAAGCCTGATCTGATGGATGCTGTGCCTCGCCAGCTGGACACGAAGCTGGGTTCCAGTTTCGTTGGGGTATGTGCCGCATTCCAGGCTCTTTTCCTATGCAGGGCCATCTTTCTTTGCTTCTCCCGGCGGGACTACTTGCTGGATGTGGCCCGAAGCATTCTGAAGACGTTTGTGTGTTCAGGCTGTGGAAGCAAGCCTGCAGACGTGAGCGCCACGGAAGACGAGCAGCTTGTGAACCAGCAGATTTGCGAACTACGCCTGCAGATGGCACGTCTTTTCATGCGATACACGTGCGCGCTACTTGGCTTCTTTCTGTTCTTCCAGCAGCTACGAGTGCTTCAGGATGCAGACCGATGGATTTCCAACAATGCAATGTGGCTTGTGGTTGCCTCGTTTGGCGCCAGTGGATTCGTCAACCTGTTCTCAGCGCTGCTTACCGTGACTAACCTTGATGTCGTGTATGTTGTGATTTCTCTGTGCTGCACGGTACAGTTGTCGCCATGGCACGTAGAGCTGGCGGATGCCACGCTCACGTCCATCTGCATTCTTGGCTTTGCCCGACTTCCTGCAATTGCCATTGCCGGTCGACCGATCCTGGTGGTTGCACTCAATGCAGCTCCATTGGCATTGGTGTCCTGTCGAAGCATTTGGGAGGAAGTGCCTCCTTCATTTGTGAATGCTGAGATCAGTGGATTTCTCGTCACTTCCTTGGCTTCCCTGTCCTTGCAAGCAGGTCTCAAGCGTCGCACAGAGCATGACTTGCTCTACAGCAAGATGGCCACAAACCTTAAGGCAGCCTCTTCGTTGCTGGGCTTGACCTGTGATGCCGTGGTTGAGTTGGACGGCGATCTTCGGGTAGTTCAGGACTCTGCAGCCCTTGCAGCGATGCTTCTATGTGCAGGCTCCACACTTGCTGGTAGGGACTTCAGGGACTTCGTGCAGAAATCTGACGCAGACCAAGCCCTGGAGCTTCTGAAGCGCTTCGACGGCTCTCAACCTGATGTCAACACACAAGCTTTCCACACGCGCCTGCAGGACTGTGATTGTAACAAGATTCCAACAGAAGTGTTTCAAGTTGTGTACCGCACAACCCGCGGTGAAGCTCGTCATTTGATCGGCCTTCGTGATGTTACAGATCAGGGATGTCTGGTCCGGGGGAAATCTGCGGACAGCTCTGATATTCAGCTGTCATACCCTATGATGCCCGTGGATACCTTGACGCCCATGACTTCGCAGTCTGTGTCAACTGCGGCAGTGTCCTTCTCCGCTACTGGGCCGCAGGCCCTGCCAAGCTCACAGCGCAATGTCAGTGTCACCCGCGTCCAAAATAAGCTCTTATTCATGCAGATGGATATGGATCGGCGTGTCGTCAGCACATCATCGCGTGCTATCTGCGTAGGCCGGACTCTTGTCGACCTGTTCTCAGCTCGCGGCGCAGAGGTTTTGCAAAGTGCCTGGGCGGAAGCGAGCGAGAGTGCGACACTGAGTATGGCCTTTAGAATCAAATCTTTGTATCTACAACTCAGCATGTCCGCGAAGGAGTACGTCAGCGGCACGCTGCAGCTAGTCCAGACAGCTAGTGGCAGTCTGCAGCTGATGCTGCTATGCCTGACACCTCCAAGCCTCGAAGATCCGATGGAAAGCAGGGCAAGTTCGGTCCGCCCACTGCCGGACATTCATGAAGCAAGACGCGAGGGCCTACATCGGACGGAGGAGGAAATTGAAGGCTTCGTGAGGGTTAGCCTATGACATCCAGCATTTGTCCCCTCTACCTTCAGGCAGTTCTGATGCCTTTGCCGGAGAGAGGTCCAACGTTACACTCGACGGCGCTTGTGCCTGCAGGCTCTTGGGGAGCTTCCGAAATTAGGGGGTACCTTATTCGGGTGTCCCTAGAATAAGGGATCCTACGATTTGGGGTACTCTATTAGGGCCCCCCAGTTCGGAAACTCCCCTTTGGGTTCCAAGGCAGGGTTGGGATCCACAAGGGGCTCTTTCGCTCCGCTTCTCCAGGGGGGCTCAAGCCCCGACCTGGTCGCGAGCTGTGTACACTAGTGTGCAGTGCTGGCAATGTGCAGGCATTGCGTCCTAAAAAACAAGAAGTTGTGGTATTTTGTGCTTTGGATTTGTGCAGGCCCCGGTGCAGAGACCTGGTACTTCCAAAATGCTTCCTGATTCATGGCTACATGAAAAAAGGAGCTGTCTTTATGTGGATGTCAGGTGTGAGCCGCGACGTGCGACCTTATCCTGTCTAACAAAGCGCCAAAGTTGCCCGTGGTTGGCTCCTGCATCCTGAGTTTGTTGTCGACACGCCTCAGCATAGCGTAGCCCCATGTAAGGCTTCTTGTGGGAGTATAACAGAAAAAGCGAGACGTCAAGACAGACCGGAAACAAAACATATCGTCACAAGAAGGATCCCTAAACGGTATCCCTTGTCTTCTGAACTCCCTAGCCCGCATGTCACTCCACACCGGAGCCCTCGCCCCAACATGCAGAACGCCTTGGGTTCGGCTCAGAGGAAGAAGGTGCTAGCAATCAGAGCCTCGGGCACATCAAGCATGCTTTCCGCCGACGCTCGCCTCAATAGTCGGTTCAGCTGCGATAGGAGCTTGTCATAAAACCCAGCTCGGGCAGCTCGAGTACCAGACCTTGTTCTTGGCCCCCGGTGGTGGCCTTCGCAGTGCTGGGGGCTCTGAAGCTCAGGTTGCGGCCGCTGATGTGGTGTCCCCCGCAGTGCGCCGGGCCAGAAACCCATCGGTTTTTCGAAACCATCGTCGCATGGAGTTTGGGAGCTTGGGAGTCCAGAAGCCCAAGGCCATGTTGTTAGGGCTGAGTGTTGGTTGAACCTCTGATAATTCTCCAAGCTCTCTCATATCCCTGTGTGTTTATCAGGCCAACGGGTGCTCTTTTCTTGCTGCAGGTACTCTTATGATGGCCTGGATGCACTCGCTCGTCCTGGGCTTGGAGATCATTGCACTAGCTGTCACTAGCTAGGATGATTGGGGTGAGCTTCTCTTGGCTGTGCCTAGAGACATTCAAAAGGGATCCACAAGCCAAAGAAGTGGGCAATGACGAATCCCTGTGAAGCCTGGATGCTGTGGGATCGTTCCGAGGAATTAATCACCCACATCTACAGGAGACCCGAAGATTTTGCAGTTTGAACATGTCTGTTCTACATTCTCATTCTCCGCTGTTTCATTGCGTGCCGAATTTCCCAGAAAAGCCGACCCGGCAAGCAAGAGCCCAGGTGCTCCTCGCGTCTCCACTCCACCGCCCAGATCTGCAAGGTCCGGATATTCTACAATACACCATACTAGTACTGAATACTATTGCTATTACTTTCCTACACTATACTACACAAAGAGTCTTACAGGCCTGTTTGTGGGCGTGTTGAACTCAAGATGAGCATCGCCGGACTTGTTCTGGAAGTGATGCCCGCCGGGCCCTCTCCAGTTCTCAGAGCTGAGCTGCAAGCTCTAAATCAGGGGCTGGGACCAATACGACCCACTATACCATACAGTACTGTACTACTACAGCCTACAGTACAGTACAGTGCATAGTACACGTACATGATCCGAGAGTCGGCCAGATTCTGGGTATGAGATCGAGCCGTATAGTATGCTACAGTCTAGCATGGTATGGCATGGTCTAGAATCAGATGTGATAGGACATTTTTCGCTTGGTTCAGATTCAAAATCCAAAGCCTCGCCGGGGAGGTCCAAGCTATGCGATGGGCGAAGCACCGGAAGCCAGAAGGCGGCTTCACCAAGGGGAGAGCCCTTCAGAATCCCCATATGGGATTCCCATAATAAGGGGCACCTTACTATGGGATCCTTATATTTGGGGTTCCTACTATTTAGGGTACTATATTAGGGTCCCCTATTTTCGGAAATCCCCATATGAGTAGTTCCTCCAAAAAATTGGGCCCCTTTTGGGGTCCGTTTTAAAAGGGCGCCGTACTGTATTCGGCACCAAGAACGGGACCCTAATTTAGAGAACTACCCATATAGTCCTTTAGTTGAGCACTCCTTTAAAGTGGTCGTAATCCTGTCCTAGCTGTAATATTGCCGGTAAGAAGCGTGAACCTGCTGGTCCACTGATTCCATTTCCTATGTCCACATGTGGACTTCAGAGATTACAGGGGTATCCGGCAGTCGCAGAAGGCCTGGAGGTAAAAAAAGGGTAGCTGCCTCAGGGGCTCTCATATTTCTGAACCTCCCAGAGTTTGCAACGGTGGCGAAAGCCTAGGATGCTGCCAGAGTACACGACTGGTAGCATTTACGAGGTGCAATACCTTGCATTACACCGATTGTGAATATAATCTAACTCGCAGTCATGGTATTTAGGAGTAACAAGAAAGACTTCGCAAATTCGACTTTGGTTTCAGGCTGTTCGCGTGGGTCGTGCGAGCCGTAGTTGCGGAAGTAAGCATTCGTACCGCCCTCGATGTACGGACAACCTGGGACACGGCTGCTCAATACCTCGATAATGCCGCAGGCGCGAAGACCGCTGCCTTCCAGCCCGCCAGGCAAGGCACCAAATGCACAATGACGAACTCGCAAAGCTTCATGCCTCCCCACTACTTGTGTGACCTCAGGTAGCTTGTCGCCACTGCGTGCAAACAAGGCCGGGCAGACGCTTCCAAAGAACTTTCAGAGTCACCGGATCCCTTTCTGAGCCTCTCGGTCACAGGGGCCACATCATCATCGGCCATACTGGCCATACTCGCCTCGAGGCGAGAAGATGGGGGCTTCCTGTCGTATCTCAAAGTATTGCACAATCTCGAAGCAGTGTCCCTTCGAGAATCTAGTCTTGCCCGGCGGAGTCGAGTCCCGTCCAGGCGAGTCCAGCCTAGTTTTTCTCAGCGTAGTCGAGCCGAGTCGAGTCTAGTCTAGTTTTGTCTATCGTGAGTCTAGTGTAGTATACAACACAGCATGGCGTGCAGTACAAGATGTATCATGGTGTACAGTGAAAAGTGCATGGTGTACATTATGCAGCCTGTAATTAACATACAGCTTCGGTAACATGTACTATGTTCTGTATTGTGTAGAGGGTGTTTAATGTACAGTACATAATAAATAGTATAATACGAGTATACAGTGTAAGTAGACAACCCTTGTACATAGCATACAGTCTATAGTATACAAGACATAGTTTATAATGCACAGTATACAGTATATCGTACATACTATACAGCATAACACGTTAACGTGAGTGGTAGATGGTATATAGCCTGTCGTCTAGAGTATTTCGCATTTAGCGCATAGTGTGTAGTGCATAGTATATAGTGTTCTGTATAAAACATCATATTACAAGTATGTAGTAGCTGTTGCATAGTGTACAGTACATAGCAAAAGGTACATAGTACATTGTATATAGACATTGAGTGCGCAGCTTAGTGTGCAGAGTGAATAGTGCATAGAACGCAGAGCATGGAGTGTAGGGTACATACCATGTGGGATCCCTTGTCCAAGACAGGGAACTGCAACGGAGACGCTTGGTATTTGCTGTGATTTGCCCAGGACAGGCCCATGCTGAAGACGGCATCAAAACAGGTGGGAGACTTTTTGTGACCCATGCCATGCCTGTTGTCTGCAGTCTAACCCTAAACCCTATACCGCCGTATACCCTAAACCCGAAACCCTAAAACCCTATACTGCCCGGAGACAGCGCCTCGCGTCGAGATCCGAGTCTGAGAGCCCCTTAAAATCTGACGGCATCCTACGCGCCACAGTACCTTAGACCCGAAAAGCGCCCTAAACGATATCCCTACTGTACGAATCCCGCCCGTCTCGGAGAGCTAGAGTCTCTTTCCCTGCAACCGGGGACTTGGACTTGGACTCAACTGGTTTTGCCCCATACTCGACTCATCTGAGAAGGAAAAGATCCAGCAAAACGAGACAGATTTCACGCCCTACAACCCCTACCTCCATTGAAATCCTAAATTGTGTAGTGCCTAAAAACTTCGCTAGATTTTTCGATTGCCCACACCACCCGAAGCTTCCTCTCCAGCAACGCCCATACCGCCCAGGAGTTCCTCTGACGGCTTCAGCAAAGTTGGCCACAGACTTGGGGTTTAGGGTTTAGGGTTTGGGGTTTGGGGTTTAGGGTTTAGGGTTTAGGGTTTTCATCAAGTCCGGTTTCAAAGGGTTTGGGGTTTAGGGTTTAGGGTTTGGGGTTTGGGGTTTGGGGTCAGAGGAGTCGAAAGGGGCTCGGGTAGTTTTAGGCTTCCGGCTTTCAGGGTTCGGGTTGGGGCAGAGGGCCTCAAAACCCTCTGCATTGCTGTGCTGCGGCTCACGTAAAGTGAAGTAATGATCTGAAAATCTCGCCGTTTCTATAGCTCCTCGAAGACCAGATTGGGTTTGCACCAACCTTGCATGACAAAGGCGGGGGGCCTGCGTCCATCCACTCCTCCACAGCAGCCGCGTAGGCCACTTGCATTGCATGATCTTTAGATCCATTCGTCCTTGGGTACGGTGCAGCTTGGATGATGCGTGTCACTTAGCTGCGCAGCACCTGAAGGGCCAGACAGTTGTTATTCGTTGGTCTTATGGCTTTGTTGTTGTCATTGCTGCGGTTGCTGTTGTTATTGCTCGTGTTCTTGAATTGCTGCAAAGGCGTTTCGTGATACAGTGTGAGACTCTTCGACTGTTGAGCTGCGCATGATGTCTTGCTGGAGTGTGCTCTGCTTATATAGCCATGATGCGCAACGACTGGATGCTGCGCTGTGCACAGGTCCCGCTTTCGCCGGG